CCTATGGGTGTAAACCTGTGGGGTGCAAGTGGGTGTTCAAGAAGAAGCTTAGGCCTGACGGTACTATTGAAAAGTACAAGGCTCGGCTTGTTGCTAAGGGCTATACTCAGAAAGAAGGCGAAGATTTCTTTGACACTTACTCACCTGTTGCTAGATTGACCACAATTCGTGTGCTACTTTCCCTAGCAGTCTCACATGGTCTTCTCGTTCATCAAATGGACGTTAAGACAGCTTTTCTTAATGGAGAGCTGGATGAGGAGATCTATATGGATCAACCTGATGGGTTTGTAGTTGAAGGTCAAGAAGGCAAAGTGTGCAAATTGTTGAAGTCTTTGTATGGTCTGAAACAAGCTCCTAAGCAATGTCATGAGAAATTTGACAAACCATTGACATCTGCAGGCTTTGCAGTCAATGAGGCAGATAAATGTGTGTACTATCGCCATGGTGGGGGTGAGGGAGTTATTTTGTGCTTGTATGTTGACGACATACTGATATTTGGGACAAACCTTGAGGTGATAAATGAGGTTAAATCATTCTTGTCTCAAAATTTTGATATGAAGGATTTGGGAGTAGCTGATGTTATCTTAAACATTAAGCTAATTAGAGGTGAGAATGGGATTACACTCTTGCAGTCCCATTATGTGGAGAAGATCTTGAATCGCTTTGGCTACATTGATAGTAAGCCTTCTCCAACACCTTATGATCCTAGCTTGTTGCTTCACAAGAACAAAAGAATTGCTAGGAATCAACTGGAATACTCCCAAATCATTGGCTCGTTGATGTACCTGGCTAGTGCAACTAGGCCTGATATCTCCTTTGCTGTGAGCAAGTTGAGCCGATTTACCTCTAATCCGGGAGATGATCACTGGCGTGCGCTTGAGCGAGTAATGCGCTATCTGAAAGGTACTGTGGAATTGGGGCTTCACTATACTGGGTATCCTGCGGTACTGGAGGGTTATAGTGATTCTAACTGGATCTCTGATGTGGATGAGATCAAAGCCACTAGTGGATATGTTTTCACACTGGGTGGTGGTGCTGTTTCATGGAGGTCTTGCAAACAGACCATTTTGACGAGGTCAACCATGGAAGCAGAGCTAACGGCACTGGATACTGCTACTGTTGAGGCAGAATGGCTGCGTGATCTATTAATGGATCTGCCTATTGTTGAAAAACCGGTGCCGGCTATCCTTATGAACTGTGACAATCAAACGGTAATTGTCAAAGTGAATAGTTCTAAGGATAATATGAAATCGTCTAGACATGTGAAAAGACGATTGAAGTCTGTCAGGAAATTAAGAAACTCCGGAGTTATAACGTTGGATTACATACAAACAGCGAGAAACCTGGCAGATCCCTTCACGAAGGGACTATCACGAAATGTGATAGACAATGCATCGAAGGAGATGGGTTTGAGACCCATGTGAGTTATACTATGGTGGTAACCCAGTCTATGTGATCGGAGATCCCGTGAATTAGATCCTGGGAAGAACAAACCATTAATAAACTAGAGGAGAGTACCAATATATATACCCTCTCCAAGTGAAGATGCATATACTCTCGTGAGCTGCAAGGCAAGTTGGCTATGCCTTAATGAGTTCTGTTGGCTTTAATTAGCGAAGATGTTGTCCTACAGAGCATTCTTGAAAGAACTCACCTTTGTGAGCTTGACTGTTGGTCGCAATCTATGAAGATTTTGGGTGAATCTTCTAGGAAGCTTACTAAAGACCTAGGAGTATGACTTATACGCTCCACCCGAGGGGTAGTCTACAGACGGTCTAGTACCAGATAAGACTTTGAGTGAAACTTGCTTGCACAAGACTTGCAATTCAAGGCGTAGTCCATTGTTCAAGTTGTGAGTAAGTGTAGCTTGGAGTTCTAGGTGGATGTTCAACCTTAATTGGTCTCCATCGAACCGCTGGTATATAAACAGTATATTGGAAAAGGCAAATCTCAGTGGGATTTTGAGATTTGGTGGGGGATTGTTGGAATTAATGAATGGGCCTTAGCCCACTCGAAGATTAATTCTTTGGAAAATCACAAAAAGCCCACCTCATGGGACGGCATGCATGTGGAGTTTAGTACCACCTTGCTTATTCTAGGAGAGGGGGACCTTCTTAAAAGGGAGGATGCCCTCCTAGCCACTTGAAGCATGTGTGGTGGAGAGAAGAGGGGAAACACACGCGCTCGCTCGCCTCGCCTGGCCGGGCCGGGCCGGGCAGGGCAGGGCAGGGCAGGCGGCGCGCGTGCACGACGTACGCGTCGAATGGTTCGAAAAATTGGCTCCTCACCCTTGCGCAGATGCAGCCTCCTTTTGCAGTTTTGTTTTGCTGCAAATTCGGATTCGGTTTTGTTTTGGAAACGTTCCGAAAAATCCGGTGCGTGCAAACGGCGTGGAGTCCGGATAAGTTACGCGCGACTTATCCGGTTTGGTTACGCGCAGTAGAGATCGTGCGGGCGCCCTGATCAAGCGACCCTTCTCTATATAAACCAACCTGCCGTCTTCACGCAACATACGCGAAATCAATCTAGGGTTTGCCTCCTACTCTGTACTGCACCGTCGCTCGTAGACTACTCCATCCCTCTCGCCGGCGTGCACCGGCGATCGGGAGAGCAGGTCTCCGGAACCTCTGCCTTCGACGTCCTGCACCGGGAGAAGGCGGCAATAAGGTTTTTGGGAAGCGCTTCGCGCGACTGCTCCCTGTTCGTTCGCGACGGCTCGCCTTCCTCTTCGCTCGCGTGTTTCGTGCCTTCGTAGACACCTGCGAAAAGTTTCGACCAAGCAGCCGGTCTTTCCGTCACCTCGGTACGTGTTCAATATGTTGCGCATATTTGATCTGTTCATGTTATACTGTGTAGTTTACATGTGTAGATCTAATGATGCGTTCATGCTAGTTTTCATCTGTAATGTCATGATTTATTTATGTAATAGATTAAATCATTATATGTCTATAATTTCAACACGTTTTTCTGTTGGTTGGCAGCACGCCACTGTGCACAGGATTCTGATTTCTAAGCTACCTCTGCCTAGCCTCTTGTACGAAAGCTAAAGAGAAGTGATGGTATCCAACTCCAATTGCTAGGAGTTAACAGGAAGAAGCAGAGTTTGATCTGATTCGGGATTGACGGCTGCTTCCCCGGTTCCTCAACGGTAAGTAGTCAGAAATTAACCCGATGTACGCCGTCCCGTGCAGCTGCTCAGCCTGCTTCCCCGGTTCTTCTTGTAGGGCTCCAGCCTGCAGCGGCGTCAGTTGCACATCCACACTATCATCGTGCATGGGAAACAGTTTTAAACCCTCAAGAGAATTGTTTCCTCTCATTGTGTATATGAATAATTTTGAAAAAAAAATAATATTCATACAACACATATACCACTCCACAAAATCTCTAGTAAGACTCCATTTACACATTTAGATATAAAGAAAGACAAATTCAACGGATGAATACTAGCTAGCGATTCTATTTATACGTACTTTAATTCAATTTTTTTCTTAATTTGTAGAACAAATTTAAACTTAATAAAGTGTTAGATGTCACTGTACTCCACATTATCATTTGTTTTTAGAAAAAATATAACTATTTGCATCAAATTTGCTAGAAAAAGATACACAAGTGAATATCCCCTCGAGGAATTAAAATTTATTTCCGTACATTCGTGATGCTTGTAGAAACCACTTCCTAGAAAAGTTTTAACTTATGGTGCTTATACAAACAGGGCCAGCCCTGACGGGGCTGAGCAATGCAGCCGTACTGGCCCCCCAACTCGGGAAAAATATGTAGTGCAAACCACATATGTAGTGGAAACATGGAAACTACCGTTGGATCGAGAAATGGATGTCTAAGATTCGTCCACGTCACCATGAGTTAAAATTTAACTCGCGGATTCACTCATGAGTTAAATTTTAACTCATGATGATGTGGACGAATCTCGGACGTCCATTTCTCGATCCAACAGTAGTTTTTAAGTTTCTACTACTTATGTGGTTTGCACTACATATTTTCCTATCAACTCGTAGGGGCTCCCACCTACCCCCCATGCCATAGTAGCAAATAGCGATGTCGATGCCACGTCATTCCTAATTGGCTGATTCCACAACGCGATCGGTGAGATTACTGCCATGACAAGTAAGCGAGAAGAGGCAAGTAGCGATTGCATCTGCAATCAATTGTCGATGCTTGCCCCCAACCAGTATCGTTCCCCGCCCAGCCGCTTTGTTCAAACGGCTGCCGGATCTGCAAGACACGTTGACTACTTGCCAATCTGCTCATCTACTTGCAAAATACACCCCCCCCCTAATTTTAAAGGTAAATTTTACTACAGGACATCGCGAGTTCGTGACCGCACGAAGTCACTTTTGTAGAAACACACTATAAAAGTATGGTTATTTGTCGGGGAACAACGCACCCATTAAATTAATATTTTTGTACTGACTAGACGATTCTGCCCTCACTTTTTTACATGGCTGGACCAAATTGGCCCTTCTTTCCCTTTCTCTTCCTATCTTCTTCCTTATCTCTTTCTCTCTCCCTTGATGGGGAAATTTAACTATTTGCCACTCTTGTGATATGGCAATTAACGATTTGCCACATCCTGTCAATGACATGTGGGCCCTCATGTGTCTATGACATGTGGACCTAGTGGCAAATCGTTAAGTAACATCCGTAATAGTGGCAAATAGTTAAAAGCCCCCCCTCGATGGGCCGAGTGTGGCTCGATGAACACAGCAACGGCGTGGCTCGTGGTGGCCGTGCAACGCTATGCAGGCGGCCGGTGACGCGGCACAGGGTGGCACGCGGCGCGGTAGCGCACTCGTGCAAGAGCGGCGACCGGAGCAAAGGCGGAGCAGCGGCCACGCGAAAACGGAGCAGCGCCCGGCGCGATGGTGGCACGGCTGCACAGCACGCGGCTCCGTCTCCACCTATGACCTCTGAACCCCGTGCCGTCATGTCTGGCTCTTCTTCGCCCTGCTCCCCAACCCCACGGCATCGCGGTGGACCCGCACCTCCAACCGCGTCGGCGCTGAACACCACCTCCGTGCGGCACTGCTCGCCTCTTTCCCACCGTCTCCGCCTGGATTCGTCGCCTTCCCTGCGGACCTCGTCGACACCGGCTTCGCCACTGATGGCCTCTCCTATAACCGCGCCATCAGCTGGCTCTTCCCCCATGGACCTCGCTGCCAGGTGCCCCTTTCGCCTCGGCCGACCTCGTCGGGGATGGAGGGCCTCATCGACTCCCGTCGGCATGTTTCCTGCGTCACCTCACTGGCATGCTCGGGCCCCCCACCCATCTGCTCCCCTGCCAGCCGAGGACGCGTGGGTTAGTGAGCAGATGCTACCCGCGCACCTTCCCGCCGCCTCCCACGGCCGGCTGCAGTCAAGCTTTGCCTCCTGCGAGCAGAGGAAGAAGGTGAAAACAATGGTAGAGGCTTACATGCGAGCCCATGTGCTTGATAAAGAGATAGAGGTAGAGAGATTGCAAATCTGACATATGGGTCCAAGAACATTTTAGAACATTCACTCGATTTCTCTCTCCTTTTTAACTAGAAATTATTATTTTAATGGGCACGATGTCCACCAGCAAATATCAACTTTTGAGAGTATATTCCCCTAAAAGTCACTTCGCGCGGTGTTCTACAGCTAAAAGATATCCTGTAGCAAAATTTCCCAATTTTTAAAATGTATGACGCTATTGACTCTTTTTATAATATTTGACCATTCATCTTATTAAAATAATTGGTATAAATATCATTTATTTTGTTGTGACTTGTTTTATTATCAAATAAAATACAATCTTAACTTGTACTTTTACATATTTATATTAAAATTTTGAATAAGACGAATAATTAAATATTGTGCGAAAAGTAGAGTGCGTCGTACATTTTGAAAATAATGTAGTAGGAGGTAAGCAGCAGCAACAGTTCCCACATATAAATATTCGAATTAGAAAAAAACAAACTTATTGTCCGTAAACTTTCCATTAGTCATTTGGGGACAGGGACAAACTTTCTATTAGTAAATGGAGTGTGGACGAGCCCTTTTCGGACACGTTTGTTGGATTGTAGAGAATCAAACGAATCGAAGTACTAGACCAATCCGAGTATTAAGCTGCAAATAAAAAATCTCCCGGAATCCTTTCTTTCTCTTCTTCACGAATTTATAAGCAAGCAATTGGAGAGTAAGATATAACAATCTCTCCGTGTCTTAGCTGAATAGGCCAGCTTCTTTTTTCTATAAGAACACATGTGTTCAATTAGATTCTTGTAGTGTCAAATCTTCTACGCACAACAGCCATAAATTAAATAGGCGACGAGTACGTGTCCCGCGGAAGGTATGTCGATGGCGACCACCGCACCCAACGTCGTCGACAGCGACTGCGGCGGCACCCCGCCGTCACGGTCAGCCTCCACCATCATCGCTGCACGAACCCTCCATGTGCTCACTATTGATGGCTACTCCGACACCTTGAAATCCAACGTCGACCCTAGCTAGCACTTGCTCCTTTCCTCACCGTTCAGCGCCGGAGGACACACCTGGTGCATCCACTACTGCCCAATCGGGTCCACCGAGGAAAGCAAGGACTTCATCTCCATCTACCTTGTTCTCGAGGACACCACCGCCGACGTAGTGTCGGCACATGTTACGTTCAGTTTGCTCGACCAACAGGGGAATCCGGTGCCATCTCACACCCTCACAACCCCACTGCTTAAATTCTCTCTTCAAGGCACTCTACCTAAGGGCCTGGGGTATAACAGCTTCATCAGAAGAGACGACTTAGAGCGATCGGGACATCTCAAGGACGATTGCTTTGCCATCGGGGTCCATGTGGTCGTCACCAAGGAAGCAATACCGTCGTCCATCACCGTGCCACCATCGGACATGCACCTGTATTATGGCGATCTTCTCTCAAGCGAAGAACGGTACGCCACCGATGTTGAGTTCCTAGTTGGCGGCGAGACCTTCGCCGCGCATCGATTGGTGCTCGCAGCACGATCCCCTGTCTTCATGGTGGAGCTTTTTGGGCCGATGAAGGAGAGTACTACTGTAAACAAGATACAAATATTTGATATGGAGGCGCAAGTGTTTAGGGTTTTACTTAAGTTTATCTACATAGACATGTTGCCGGAGATGGATCAAGAAGATGAGGCCGCAATGGCTCAACATCTACTTGTTGCAGCGGATAAGTATGGCCTGCATAGGCTGAAGATGATCTGCGTAGAAATATTGAGTAACCACATTGATGCCAACTCCGTGGCAACCATCTTGGTGCTAGCTGATAAGCACCATTGCTATGGTCTCAGGGAGGCATGCTTTGACTTCCTTAACTCCTCAGCAATATTGTCTGCGATTGTAAATACAAGTGACTTTCAGTATTTGATCCAAAGCTGCCCTGATATTTTGGAGGACATAAGTTTCAACATTGTTGCTCGTCAATTGGAGAGAGCAATTTTCCTATCAGAAAACCAAGCAGGCCAAATCAACAGCGTAGAAATCGGAATTCGGTCATGACAAATTGACAAATTGAGGTATCCAGATGTACTTTAGCTGAAGATTTTCAATATTATATGTTCCAATCAGTTTTTGTCGCTCGTACTCATTAGCTAGTTGCATGTGCTTCGTAAACTTAATTATATATTATATATCAACTTTAAGTCTTCCATCGTACATATATCTATACTCCTCTAAAAATAAAGTAGTGGTGAATGTGCCACCATTCTCACCACCAACTCTTTACCCTTTTGAAGTGAAGAAATGACATGTGGGGCTAAGAGAACCACATGTCAACTACCCCCCCCCCCCACCATATCTACTTTTTGTGATAAAAAATGATATTGTGAGATCATAGGACACAAATATTAATTACAAATATATATAGAATTTGAGAGAAAATGTATATAGAAAATCATGATAATAGCAGGTTAATAATCATTTTCATCAATTAAAATCTCGTTGTAACGCACGGTCAACATGCTAGTATATATGACATGTACTTCGAGTGGTGATGACATGCAAGACATGTATCTCGTTGTAACGCACGGTCAAGAGGCAAGGAGACTTATATACCATCAACACGAGTATTCGTGCTACATTTCAAAATTAAGATTTGTGTAGGGAAAATGTACAAATTACCCTCTCCCCGATCTATCGCGGTTGACCGAATTACCCCATAAACCCGAAAACCAAACATCGCTCACCCTAAACTTTTAGTACAAGATGAATTACCCCCCCCTACCCAATCTAGAGCGGTTTTGTCCTACATGGCGTACGCATGGCAATCCAGTCAGCATTTTCCATTTTAAAACATGGTGGGGCCCACCTGTCATATATACTCTCTATCTCTCTCTCTCCGCTTCCCCTCTTCACCCCTCTCTGTCTCTCCCTCTCTCTCAGCACGCACTCTCTCTCTCGTCTCTGTCGTTGAGTAGCGGGCGGCGGAGCGGGACACATAGACAGGAGTGGTCACGGAGGCGACGACAGCGCAGGACGCGGAGGAGGCGGCAGGGAAGGACGCGGGACAACCCGGTCCTCCTCCTTCCCTGCAAAGGGCGATCAATGAAGGGCGTTCGGGGCGGGCGGTTGGCGACAGTGCGGGGGCAGGTGGTGTGCGGGGTTCAGTGACGGCGAGTGTGGCGTAGGAGGAGGAGCCTATCTTGGCAGTCCAGGAGCTCCCACTAGGCGGAGGCCTAGCCGCCACCGGGGAGGAATGAGGCCGGACTCCGGAGACGGAGGCGGAGGCGGAGGCAGAGGCGGTGGAGAGGAAGACCGGCGGCTTTAGGCCCGGGACGACGAAGAGGAAGCCAAGGAGGTGCGGGGGCAACATGTGGTGGCGAGCGCGGAAGCGGCAGAGGAAACCGGCATCGCGGGCTGCACGGAGGAAGGACCTGCCCACGAGCGTGGCGCGCACTAGTGCGGTGGGGGAAGAGAGGCGGAGGAGGATCTCGCGGAGGAGGATCTCGCGGAGGAGGTCGTCGCCGAGCACCGCGACGCCGCTCGTCGCCGTCCCTAGTGTGCCGACTGCCCACGCTGCCGCCCACCACCTGCCCTCTCACGCCGGCTGCCCGCGTCGTTCGACCCGCACCCGCGTGGCCACGCCTGATGAGTGACGACGCTAGAGAGAGAGGAAGCAGGGAAGAGGAAAAGGAGGAGGCGAGAGTATGACAAGTGGGCCCCGCCTTGTTTTAAAAAAAGAAAATGCTAACTGATCTGCCACGCATACGATACGTAGAATAAAACCGCTCTGGATTGGGTCGAGGGGGGCAATTCGTTCGGTATTGAAAGTTCAGAGTAAGTCATGTCTGGTTTTCGGGTTCAGCGGGGAATTCAGCCGACTGTAATAGTTCGAGGGGCAATTCGTACTTTTTCCATTGTGTAAAAATCTTCTTAACCGGTATAGCTTGGATAACTTTTTCTAAGCTATCTATTGGCTTTATACTATATATATACTATACAGTCCATTCTATAAGCAATTATCTAAGATTCGGTTTATCATCCAAAAGAAAACGTAGATTTAGTTTTTAAAAAAAAACAGATAAGTTTACATTAAAAGTAAGGTGCTTTTTTTTTCCTAATGGAATGTTTAGGGGCTCTTTTTTTAATATTTTTTAGAAAAAAAAACTGTTTACTGGTTCACATTGACATAATTTGGATATTTATCTAAACCCTGCTTCCCTACAATTTGTGAGACCCATAATATTCTTTTAAGAAAAACATAGTCAGCATCAAGTTTAATATAACTTTTAACCAATTATATATTGCTACTTTAGAGGGTTATATGTGCATGATGTGAAGAAATTGATAACATCACTCAATGTGATAGAGTAAAGGGTATTAGCATATTAGCACTTAAAAATGAGGCAATGATGCAATGCTTATGGTAAGTTCTAATTTTGATGAAAAGGAAGAACAAAATTTTCTAAGACTTTATAAGATTTTCTCTTAGTTCCAGTTGTTGTACAGACAGAAATGGAAGGAGGAGGGGGAAGCTAGAAAGAGAGGAAAGGAACTGTGACATGTGTAGCCCATTTTTTTTTACTCCCTCCTTCTCAAAATATAATAACTTGTTTATAGTTTAAATTTTGTCCTAAATATACCAACCTGTACTTATAAAATCTGACTTTTACTACTAAAACTACCCATACCACCCCTACTACCACTTCACTTTAATATAT